GTGCTTGCCTTTTTTGAATATAAAATGTGGGCAGACATGTACTAATATATCAAAAAATGACACTTTGTCAAAGAGGGCTTTCATGGGAAATGTTCTGAATAAAATGTTTTCTTTTTAAAAGAACCCAACCTGTTTAACATTCCAAAGCAAACACAAAAGAACACAAAATGCTTGAACTTACTGCCAGTCACAACAGTCAGCTTCATTTACTCTTTAATACTTTTTTTTTTATATTCCAAATATTGTTCCCCAAAAACTATCAGTTTTATTCCATGATAACCCTGGTTTGAAGTAAAATAAAAGTAGCTCTGACCCTCCTCAAAATGGATTCTTTTCAGAATTACTAGCACTTCTAATAGTATAAAGATGATATGGTCGGCTATGTCTACTGTTAGACTCAGTGTAATTATATGTGAAGCAACAATTCCCTTATCTATTAGGAACACTTGCTGCAGCGAACTGCATTTCACTTTCTGGCAGATGAAATACTGAATGAAAATCTCAAACTAGTTTCCCAAGTTTTTTCCCCCAGTCATTTAAAAATCTTTTAGCCTAGGGGAAGATGGTAGCCAGAAAATAATGGGAAACAGATGTGTTTAAAGGTTTGAGCAAGATGAACAAAGCAGATGTGTTAATATCTTCCTGGTCCTCAAATTGTCCCTCTCCATTGTGATTACTTTGAGACAGTTCTCATCCTTTGAACCTCTGAGGATGTTCAGAGTTAAGATAATGGTTGATAGTTGAAATGTTAAATGGTTAATCAATACATAATTGTCTCTGATCACAATCTCATATTATCTTATCTAAACAGGATAGACATTTTTTGTATGTTACCTACATTCTTTGCAGAGATGCACCCAAATCTAGCTCTTGAGTAATAATATCTATTATTCATTGTTTAGGGAACCAAAGAGAAGGACTGAAAGAAATAGAAGCAGATGAAAGTTGAGATAATTGAGATACAGTTTAACTTAAAGGAATATTGGAATGCCACATAATAGTATTAGTGTGAAAAGATGAGAAATATTCTATACAATTTTATTTGATGTGTAAGCTGAGTCAGATTTTATAGCCTGCTCTGAATTAAATTCCTAAAAGGTCAGGGTGAGGGAGAAGGATGCAGATGGCTTAAACTAATGTTAGAGAATTGTACAAACAGATTCCCCCAACTGTAAGCATTCATTGGAGAGCAGAAGGCCCAGGTTTTAATAAAATATTAGAAAAGTCTGCATATATTGGTATGAGAATATATTAATATTGGGAACAACTGATGTATTTTTGCTTAGGAAGTTAATTATATGTCATATGTATAAAAGAAACATCAATGGCATATCAATATTTGATTCTACTATGTTAGCCATGCCAGAGACCCCCTCAGTCATACCTAGTATAAGTGGCTCACTATGGCTTCATGACTGAAACCAACAAAAGATGCAGACTGATTCTGATTTCTTTTGTATCAAAATCTTACAGCACTTTTTGAGCTATTTTATAAATTAATTTCAAAATAGATGAGGCAGTAACACTGAGGTTTAACTAATTATGTTTACATTAAATATAAGCATTTAGAATAACCATTTTAATTAATACAAGACTTAGGCAACTTATCACTAAAAATGGAATTGGTAACTTGAGATTTATCACTCTAAAACCACTTGCATCACATTTTTAATGAATTCTTTCCTCTACTTCAGTGGAAGATAAAATATTTCTCCCCGAAGTGGCTGCTGATAAAAGATAACCCTTTCTTGGGTCAAGATTGTCAATTTGATATTGAATCAGAGCAAAAATGTATACTTACATGCAAAAGTATAGTTACTGTTTGCTAAACCATTTTCAACTTGACTTATATTTTAGTTCTATAAATGTAAGAAAATCCCTGATAATTGTAGTAAAATTTATTACTGAAAAAGAAAATGGATATATTTTGGTGTTTTTTTTTTTTTTACCATTTTTATAGATGAGACTCTGATAAAGAAAATTTAAATAATTTTGTGATTTAATTTTTAATTAAAATGGTATATAACAATTTCAATTGCAGTTAGATGTGAGGAATAACACTTTGAATAGCTTCAGTTTGTAAATATTTATACTTCAAACTTTATATTTGTAAGAATATGCAAATGTATTGATATAATCAAATTTGCGTATAAAAATGTATATTTAAACAAATCGTTAGCGAATTCTTTTTCTTGCATTTCAGTCTTTATTTTTCCTTTAATTATAGTTGATTTATAATATTATTGGAGAAGGAAATGGCAACCCACTCCAGTATTCTTGCCTGGAAAATCCCATGGACTGAGGATCCTGGCAGGCTACAGTCCATGGGGTCGCAAAGAGTCAAACACAGCTGAGCAACTAATACTTTATGATATTATATTAGTTTCAGGAATATAACATAGTGATTCAATATTTTTATAGATCATACTCAATTTAAGGTTATAATAAAATATTGGCTATATTCTCTGTGCTGTACAATGTATCCTTGTATCATTTATTTTATACATAGTAATTTGCACCTCTTAATCTACCCCCTTCTTGACCCTTTCCCACTAGTAACCACTAGTTTTCTATATCCATAAGTCTGTGTCTGCTTTGCTATATTCATTCATTTTATTTATTTATATTCCACATATAAGTGATATCATGCAGTATTTATCTTTCTCTGTCTCACTTATTTCACTAAGCATGGATCGACTGCTAGGTCAATCCATGTTATTGCAAATGGCAAATTTTCATTCTTTTTTGTGGTTGAGTAATATTTCATTGTGTGTGTGTGTGTGTGTGTGTACCACACCTTCTTTATCCATCCATCTGCTGGTGAACACTTAGATTGCTTTTGTATCCTGGCTACTATAAATATATAATGCTGCTATAAACATTAGGGTGCATATATCTTTACAAATTAGCATTTTTGTCTTCTTCATTTATATATCCAGTAATGGAACTGCTGGGTCATGTGGAAGTTCTATTGTTAGTTTTTTGGGGGGAGCCTCCATAATGTTTTCCATAATGGCTGTACCAGTTTACATTCCACCAACAGTTTAGGATTCCCTTTTCTCCACATTGGCTGGTTCTTTCAGTACAATATAACTATCATTTAGCACATTTACCCTGATACATGGTAAGTGCTTAATAAATGTTTGTAAATTGAGTGAATAAATATATTGATATATTTTAGAAAACATCTTTTAGGACTTCCCTAGTGGTCCAGTGGTTAAGACTCTGCACTTCCAATGTAGTGCACATAGGTTCGATCCCTGGTTGGGAAACTGGGATCCTACATGCCGTGCAATGCAGCCAAAAAAAGTCTATAAAATTCTCTTTTAAATTAATTTATTGTTATATCTTGCCTTCTTTCACCTACTCAGTTAGAATAACTGATAAAGCTGAAGTGCATCTACTTACATCTTGGAAGGCAGTATGTTTTTCCTATTATCTATTGCTTTTTTGTGTTCTGGAATTAGTACAAATGTTAAGAATCTAAAAGAGAGCAGGGCCTTTACTGACTGAGACAGGGTGATTTAAATGCAAGTTAGCTCATTTTGTTCCTTGTACTAAGTACCTGCAATTACTGATTGTCACATTTTTCTTCCATTGTAAAAACTGAACTAATTGAAGGTACTTCCCTTAGGGGACGAACTCTACAGTGTAATGAATGTTGAGTGCCCTCTTGAGTTTAGCATGTTAATTATTCATAATTATAATGATTTCTGTTTATTTGGGAACTTTAGAAATCTGGTTTATCAAACAAATTTAGAAGCAGAGTAGTTGAGGTTTTGTTTTGTTTTATATTAAGATCTCAGCAGGTGTTTGAACATACTAAGAAGTTCTCATGAGCAATGAAGCCAGTTTTGGTTTTTTTGCTTTTTTGCTAATAAATGGATACTAGTGATGTGTGCCATGTCCTTAAATAGCTGAATGAACTTTTTTCTACTCACTTTCTGGTTTCTCCAGAACTATTTGGGTGATATTGGGATTGTGAAGGGAAACATTGACAGGGATTCAAGTAGAAAACTGGAAATAATGTATGAAAGTGTGTTAATCAGAGAACTAGAGTAGATTTGGTAGCTGGCTACTAGCCAAGCATATAAAATTTTAAAGTCAAAAAATAAATAAATAAATAAATAAATAAAGTTTTAAAGTCTCCCTTTCCTTGAAAGAGGGCTGTATGTGTGTGTTCTTTGCACTCTAAGTATATTTGCATCTAATGGACCCACATAAAAGATGGATATTCTGGCTATTTTGGACTGAAATAATCTATGTCTACTATTACCAAATACATATTAGTGATAATGATGTATTAGGACTCGGCTCCTACAAGCTATTTAGACTTCATACTTATTCTCAATAAGCCTGAAGTGACAATGAACTATTGCTTTTTAAAGAGGAGTTTGGTATCACAAGTCTGTTTCATTGCAATCTTTTTCATTTTCCCATCACTTTCTTTTTTCATTTTTCCAATACAACACTTTAGAGCCAACATGTACTCTGCATGTCTACTCAAGTCTCCTGGTAATCTATCAATATATCCAGCTTAGGAAGAAGCAGCAATTGCTTAATATATTCAAGTAGCAGCAATGGTAAGAATGATTGATGCATAATCATCATATGGTTGTAAAAAGATCAGTTGAGATATACAATATATAATATTTTTTAAAAGAGTACATTTAACCACCCTCAACCTAAAATCCAAAGCAGCCAGATCAGAAACAAGAACATTAAGTGAAAGTACATGTGGGTAGCCCCCAATTTACAAGTCCATCTCTGATCAAAGAGAACTAGCAATTGCATATTCCAGGGTCAGACTCAAATACGAGCTCTGTTCTTCATCAGTAAATCATTTAATAAAAACACTGGAAGTACTGTTTTTAAAAAATGAAATGTTCTGATCATGCCTAATATGCTTCTTCCAACACCAAGTTTTTAACCATAGCTAAGGAGCAGAGAGAGAAAAAAGATTAACTAGAAGATCACTCTGCCTCTGTCTCTACCCTCAGGTACTAACAGAGTGAGGGACAGGCCAAAAGCACAGCAGTAGGTGTGGAGAGGCCATGGAATATCCACCAGCCAGATAATCATCGCTGGAGTAACTGGAAGCATCTGAATGTAGGTATGTGTACCCAGGGCTTCTGCTTGCTCCTACAATTCGTTGGCTAGCTTTCCCATCCATGTTATACACCTGCTGTCTCATCAGCCTTTTGAAAGTACTACTTGGCAGGACTTGGATGTGCACATATATGCACACAGCCAGTCAGAAAAGCAGGGTGGCTCTTCAGTGGGAGCTCCTGTCTCCTCTAGGCTTTTAAAACATTCTACAAAATGACTTTCAGCTGCCTCCTGATTCTGTATTCTCAGTGTTCCCATATAGAAACCTTCTTTCTCACTGACACTGAGCCTTGGTTCTTGAGTACAAAAGGCCTTTGTCTTTGCTATCCCACTATCTGAAATAACTTCCCTCAGATCCTCTCTGCTGGTTTTAATTCTGTTTTCTAGGACCTAAGTCAACTCTTACCTCATGGGAACATCTTGCTGATTCCCCATCACAATTATTTCCTTCCTTTCAAACATCTGTAGGCCTAGAAGTCATACCTCTCCTCTGGCATACAACTTGTATCATGTATTGCTATTTCTTTCTTCATGTAATTATCCTCTGTCCTCAGTGTAGCTGTTTATTTCTGGACAGGCAAAATCTGTTGCATTTTGTACCAGAGACCAGGACTAGGGGAATGGACTTGTAGAGAGCTACTGTGATGGAGTTCAGTTCAGTCTCTCAGTCATGTCCAATTCTTTGCGACCCCATGAACCACAGCACGCCAGGCCTCCCTGTCCATCACCAACTCCCAGGGTTTACTCAAACTCATTCTCATTGAGTTGGTGATGCCATCCAGCCATCTCATCCTCTGTCGTCCCCTTCTCCTCCTGCCCCCAATCCTTCCCAGCATCAGGGTCTTTTCCAATGAGTCAACTCTTCTCATGAGGTGGCCAAAGTATTGGAGTTTCAGCTTCAGCATCAGTCCTTCCAATGAACACCCAGGACTGATCTCCTTTAGGATGGACTGCTTGGATCTCCTTGCAGTCCAAGGGACTCTCAAGAGTCTTCTCCAACACCACAGTTTAAAAGCATCAATTTTTCGGTGCTCAGCTTTCTTCACAGCCCAGCTCTCACATCCTGTGATGGAGTGAGGTGACAAAAAGGAGTAGTCAAGAGCCCAGACTGCCTGAACTTGAGTTCCTGCTCAGCCAAATACTCACTGTGTGACCTTGGCAAGATTTTAAAAAAATAGGAAAACTTTCTATGGCTTCATTTTCTCATCTCCAAAATAGAAATAATAGTAATATACCCATCTCCTTAAGTTGTAAAGTTTCAATGACCTAATAAAGAAAATCTTAGAGTAGTGTCTAATACATGTCAAACACTCAAAAAAGCATTACTTATTTATTAGTATATACAATAATAGTTCATCTCATTTAATCTCTCAATAATACTAGCAGATAGATGGCATAATTCATATTCTAAAAACTGGAAACCTTGTGACCCTTAGTAGTCAGGTTACTACCTAAAATTGAGAGAAGAGGTTTAATGAGAACCGTGTGTTAGATACTAAACCCTTGGCTGTTTTTATTTTCTACCTGTTTCACACAGGTGCCTGGTGACTAGTTCATATTGATAATATGAGATTTATTCTTCTCTATTCTTACAGTTTAAGCCATATCCTATTCAACAAGTTTGTCTAGTCCAAGACACTGAAGAAGAAAGATGGAGAAAATGTGAAGTGGCTATTCCTACTCTAGGATGTTTTACAATTTAGATGATTCAAATGATGAAAGAAAGCAGAAACATCTAACACATTTCTTTTAACTTTTCATCTCTAGATTCCCTATAAAGCTGGCTCTTCCATGGTCCCTCCCTCACCCCATGTAATAATGTAGATTGGATATGGTATAATTGTCTTCAAAAATAACACTTTGGGGTTTGGTGGAATGTGCTACTTAAGAGTAAACTGTAAAATTTGTGAATTTTTAAATTGTTTTATTCTAATTGAAATTATTTTGGAGAATTTACACAGAGCTCTGTTAAACTTGGCAGACTAGCCCCTCTTGGAATCTCTCTATTTTCTAGGAAATTATCAAAAACTCTTGTTCTTCTCACTGCCAAAATTCCTTGGCGGCTGTTACTTCGTTTGTGCTATAGCACTTCACTCTGTGCTAGGATGTGGTGGATGATTGATGAATCCTTGGTTAAGTTGAATCTTGTCACCCTACTGACAAGAAAGCTGAAGTTCAGAGAGTTTAACATATTGTAAAAATCACACAGCTGGCAAGGAAGAATTTCCAACACAAGTCTGATGAACCTAGCAACTGATAGTGTAGTAATGGTGGTGAAGCAAAGGCTCAGTTCAGAGTTATGAGGCAGGGATTATGTTTTGACACCAAATCTCAGACACATCATAGAAACCTCTTCATGCCTCAGTTTGCTCATCCCATGACACTGTTAGGAGGATCAAAATATTTGAAATGATCATGGACATTATAAACATATAGTTACAGATCTGGTAAAGATAAACACTGAAACAGTGGAGAAATCCCCAAATGATTTGAAATTCCTAGTGGGTGATGGGAGGAAGGTAAAAAAACACTGAAAGGAGGCAAAGACCAAACATGAAGAAATAACCATGCGTGTGGAGGGACTCTGGGAGCAGATTTAGAAAAGATGACTCTGGTACCAATGCTGACCCAATGCTGTTCAGTCACCAGTTACCAAGTGGCAATTGTTGTTGTTTTAGTTCTAAGTCATGTCCAACTCTTGCAACCTCATGGGCTGTAACCCACCAGGCTCCTTTGTGCATAGCATTTCCCAGGCAAGGGTACTGGAGTGGGTTGCCACTTCCTTTTCAAGGGTACTGGAGTGGGTTGCCACTTCCTTTTCCAGGAGCTCTTCCAAATCCAGGCATTGAACCCATGTCTCCTGCATTAGCAGAAGTTTCTTTACCACTGAGCCACCAGAGAAGTCCTCCAGTTATCATGTCCTAAAATGTAGATATAATGGCCATAATCACTAAACTAAGAACTAGACATCCATATGCAACAGTCTGATTTCTAGTGGCTCTGTGGCAAGCTGCTTCTTTGGAGGATTAAGAGTAATACTGTCCTTAAAATGGAAGCTTCAAAAAGTAAGTGCCCAGCTCCCAAAGTACCTAAAGCATCCTACAGGCCTCAATGGGATCCTGTCTCCCGCTTCTTGAAACAATCCCTTCAAAAGATTATCAGAGGAATTAATGGCACTCAAGTTGTACCTGATGTCTGGTTTTGACCTTGAAGATGTTTAAGGAAGTAAATGTATTTGATGAGTTATTAAACATGTGCTTCAGTTATTATGATAATAGAAACAGCTCAGTCTTAGAAGACTGAGGTGCCTTCCATTTCTGAACATTTAATTGCATGCCTGCTGAGTTCAGACAACAAGTCATTAATCTCACATAATACATTTATTTAGATTTAAGAAAGTTACCCACATTTTTTTCTATTCTTTTGTTTCTATGCTATGTTCCAGAAAGCATCTGCCAGTTTTTTTTTTATTGCATTTTAACAGGTTAAAATGCAGAACAGCTAACCTAGCTGATACTTTGAATAGTATTCAAGAAGTCAGAGAGAAATTAATAAACCACTTTTGTAAGTTGTCTTTTGTGAAAGCCTACCTAAAGGAGACTTCCAAGATTATTGCTGATATGAAAAAGCTACGATGATAGCTTTCAGTTTAGAAACTATTCAGTTTCATCTGGCCAGTATCAACTGTCAAGTATTACTAAAACTCTAGGCCTATGATGATAACATATTGAATTTTTCTGTAATATCCTTAATATTTGCAGTTTAGCATTATTGTTCATTACTAAGCATCTTGATGATAGAATGGGTAAAGATAATGATTTCAATAATAGAGCAACAAATTCCTAATTTGGGGAATATTTTTAAGGTCTTAAGTTATAAAAGTATTTCATAAACTATAAGTCACCATAAGAATATTATTTTAAAAACAATTTCTCATAATTCCAAATTATGTTTTTCTGAAAAGTACCAGAATATAACAGAGAAAAGTTTTTCTACCTCCATTACTTAAAAAATATTCATACACATGGGTTCCTCAATATATAGTAGGATGGTACTCACTTCAGAGGAGACTCATGTGAATTATATTACCTTCCATTAATAGAGGGCCTACTCTATGCTATAAAATAGATTACTCTCAGTCTTTAGAATGTCCTTGCAAGGACATTTTTTTTCACTATATATCCTTATATAATTGAAAGTTCAGAAAAGTTGATAAAGAGATTAATAAACTAGTAAATGCAAGCTCAAATCTTTTAGACTCCTGTTAGGGAAGCCAGTTGACTCCATTATAGGTCAGAGGTAATTAAAAAGAAAATTCTGAAGACAAAATAATAATAATAGCTACCATTTATTGATGTGCCAAGTATTGGGCTATGTGCCCTAGGAACTTTAAATTCATCATCCTAATAACCAGCTCAAAAGAGTTCAATCATCTCAGATTTTTCAAACTAAGTGGATATTTTTGAAGTTTTTTTTTAGTTCAAATGTAGTTAAAATACAATGTCATATTAACTTCAGTCTTACTATGTGGTGATTTGACACCTGCAAATATTATGAAACGATCACCACAGTAAGTCTAGTAACCATCTGTCCCCAAAACTATCATTATTGACCATATTCCTTATGCTGTATATTATATCCGCATAGCTTATTTATTAACTGGAGGTATGTACCTCTTAATCCTCTTCATCTGTTTTGCCCACTTCTATCACCTTGCATTCTGGCAACCCAATGGGTGTATCTAAGAATCTGCTTTCATTTTGTTTTGTTGTGCTTGTTTGTTTTGTTTTTTTAGATTCCACGTATAAGTAAAATCTTATGGTAATTGTCTTTCTCTGTCTGGCTTATTTTACTTTACCATAAAACCCTCCAGATCAACCCATGTTATCACAAATAGCAAGATTTCTTCTTTTTTTAATTGCTGGGTGATAGTCCATTGTGTGTGTGTGTGTGTGTGTGTGTGTCTATGCAGCATCTTTATTCATTCATCTGTTGATGGATACT